CCAACAAAAAATCGGCTTCGAGATGAGTTTGTGGTAGCAAAGTTACATTTTAGGTGTTGACAAAAGTTAAAATGTGAGGTATTTGTTTATAATTAAGTTAGTTTATCGACCTTTCATTCATTTACTATCTGAATTTTCCCAAATAATTTGTTCTTTTACAACGGTGAGCGAGGTTATGTATCCTACTACAAAAACACTTTTGCAAGTACGTTGTATTTGGACATTTGTACCGTAAATTGGACAACAGAAAAAAAGGCCGGAATTCAATGATAAAAACTCGCATGAATTATCTTGAATAGAGGGTATAACTGTATCTAGATCCAAGATAAGATCTTCAGAAAGAATAAGAGTGGAGAAAAAAAAAAAACAGGCAAAGGAGTAGAAAAGCAGAGGGGGGCTACTTGTGACTTGCTATACGCATCTTCCCTCGCATTTTGTTCCTATGTTGCTTCTAGACTAGGGCAATGTTGATAATACGTAACATCACTGGAATTCCGATTACAACCAAATGAAATCACCACATTTAATCATACTCGCTAATTTATCTTCGTTACTAATTAACGATCTTACCAGAGCCTTGTTGCGCTTTTGGCCTCCATCTCCTCCACTTGAATTTGAAACTCTATCATTTCCGGTTGTATCCCGCACACCAGGCCTTTCTAATAGGGTAGATTGTGTTGTGTTCACACTATAACCATCAGTATTACAAGAGTTACCTTTAGAAACCGCTGTTGTTGGCCGTTGTACATGTGTAGTTAGTGGGATATAATCTCCCTGACTTAGGGCTGTGGGTTCAGCACTTGACGGTGTACTTTTGGCAACCTTCGTTGGTGGCTTGGTTACTCTTCCTGATATACTATATGGATAATGCTTGATAAAATTACGACGTAGGGAATAGACTGAGCTGAAAATTGGAACAATCACATATGTTTTGCCGATAATAATACCATTTTAAGTCAATCATTTTTGTAAATAGTGTATCCCGGCATACTTACAGCGTAACCTGGATGAGTATTTGCAACACTGGAAAATAATAAGACAATACAAAAGTATATTTGTACAAAATACACTGAGAAAAAATACAAATTTTACTCCATTAAGTAACACGGAATACTATATCAGACCGTTATGGAGAATACTCATTTCTGCTAGCAATGAAGGCACCTTTAATCAGGTCCGCAGGTCGTACTGATACGGAGGTCGCAGTAAAACATCTCTGGTGTGGAATGATTCGATCTCGCAGTGATCCGAATTTAATAAAAATTGCCTCGGATTCTCATTCATATG